TGGAGGGAGCTGCACCCCCGGGCAGCGCGGGCTAGTGGTTACTGCAGAGGGCTGGGAGCCATCCCGAGCTAGAGTCTGGGCTGTGCGCCCTGGGGCCTGTCGTGCAGAGGCTCCCGCTGGGTTATGGGAACGTGGCCGCCCGTGGGAAGGGCAAAGGGGCGCCCAGCTGCACCTGGCGGAGCCGCGGGGCAGGAGCAGGTTGCTCAGAACTACATTTCCCGGCATCCTCCCGCAGCGGGGGAGGTGAGGTCATTTCCGGCGGGGAGGCAGAAGTAAGCACACGCGGCGGGGTTGGAGCCGGGCGCGGCCTAGGTAGGTGCGCAGGCCGGGTGTCCTTTAGAGTTTGCGGCGCCCCCAACGGGGGAGCATCGAGCACACGGGCCCAGCTTCGCTCCCCCGGCCTCCTGTAGCGGGGCCCGGGCGCAGCAGGGAGCGACTTCCCCCGTCCGAGGACACCACCCCGGCGCGGCTGGAACAAGGCGGCGGGGCTGCGGGCCCAGAGGTCTTTGCTGTCACGGTAGGAGGCGGAGGAAAGCGAGCTCTTTGCTAGCCTAGGTGGGGACTTCTTGAGTGTAGCACATTGGGGATGCGCCTTATTTGTAGCAGTGAGTTTTCCCTGGGTGACCCTCACAAGCCCTCTTACAAAATGGGAAACTGAGGCCCAAAGCCATATGCCAGTCAATGGCAGCGCTAGGCCCAAGACCTAGTTTTTCATCACTTTGTCCTATCCTGTGAACTATGCTGTTCCTCAGAGTCTTGGATAGCTGCATCTTATGCAGTGGAATAATCTATGGAACGCCTAACCCCTTCCATCCTGGAGGAGCCTTAAGAGTTGTATAGGCAGAGAAAAAAATCTGGTACTGGGCTGACTAAGGACGCCAGGGCAAATGCATTTGCAGAAAGGGCCTTAGCAACTTCGAGTGGCAGAATCCAATAGAAAAGCTTCACAGAAGATGTAAGGTTCACTTCCCAGGAACTGTATAGTCATACTGAGTGTCAGCCTATTAGAAGATGTGCCAAGCTGACCAGTTAGCAAGTCAAAACAGCAGGGAGTGTATTCACTATCATCACTGCTAAAACTATTCATGTCTTGCAGAGTGGACTAGGAATCTAATCTGAAACAGGCAGGGAGAGCTGAGACTTGGTTGTAATTGTGTGCCATTAGAGCTAAAATTAGAGTGAATTCAAGGTAAGGAAAGGGAAGAACCAGGTGATAGAAAACTCATCTTCAGAGACAGCTGGATAACCTTTCTTGTTAAAATCTATAGATATTGGCTACAATGTTAGAACTGAAGACTCCACCCAGTGCATAGATCATTAATTGCAATGAGAGGCTTGTATGAAAATCAAGTGGAGAATAAGGCCTGTCTGTAATTGAACTTTATACAGGAACTTACCTGACTCTTTACTAGACCATGAGCACAATGTTGAATTTATGCATAACTTGGGGTAAAGTGGCCAGATAGCAGGAGTGAAAAATGTGGACCAAGGAGGGTGCAATAGATGCCTATAAAAGACAAAAACCTTGACTATTGGACTCCCTATAAAATGGTGATGTATGACCACCCTACCTTGGGGGGGGTGGAGGGAAGGAATGCTACAGAACACTTTGACTTTTTGGCCTTTATTTGGTCATTTGTGCCTATATAATTATGCATTTGGGTGCACAGAGCTACACCTAAGTATCCTCAACTCTGATTCTTATTGGCAGACTCCAGAATTCACACTATTGAAGACAATGATATTTCTGTATCAGCTACCTATGGAACTCCTTGCTAGAGGACACGGTGAAGGCTAGAACTTTAACAGGGTTCAAAAAAGAGCTAGATAGATTAATGAAATTTAGGTCCATCAATGGCTATTGGCCAGGATGGATAGGAGTGGTATCCCTAGCCTCTGTTTCTCTGAAAGTGGGTGACAGGGAAGGGATTATGTGAGGATTACTTGTTGTGATTGTTCCCTCTGGTACTGGCCACTGTCGGCAGACCTTTAGTCTGACCCAGTGTGGTCGTTCTTATATTCTGTGTCTCATGGCTTATATTTTTTTGTAATCTTAAAGCCTAAAAATAGTTTACCCCTTATATTCAAAATGTCATGATGGCTGGATAAGTACATCATGCAAAGTAGGCTTTTTTACCTTATATTTAAAGTGATATTAGGAAAAGGCAACTTGATTGACATTAGGAATATGTACAGGCATTGACTAGGTTCTTGCTTTAAACTGGTTAGGAAAGTTCTGTCTTAAGCTAATTAATCCAAAGAACTCCAGCAGATCTTTTCACATACTTTATTAGAAGAAATGTATCTGTCACTCAGAAGCCATAAATAAAACACCATCAGTAGCACAACCGCAATTCATCCACAGGAGCCAGTGCAAATAAAAGGCAAAAAATATATAATTGGTGATATTGGTTATTCCCCTGAGCACAGAAGATTCCAGTAGGTTGACTGTTTACATTATATCCACTTTGTATCAGAAGCTGCTCAATAGTGTCTTCAAAGATAAGCTCTTTGGATTTTGCTAATAGAAAGATAAGTGGCATGCAACTGACATTCCAATGCAAATATTCAGGAAGCTGGCCAGGTAAAGCTGTTTTCTACCATAATCAACCCTCTTTGTCTAGAAGCAAAGGAGATCATAGTCAACTTGATATATTCAGGATCTCTAGAAGGAACAAATAGCTAAATATGATGCACTATTCCTGCGCAGAGCAGGCAGATCTTTGATTGGCACTAAGGGATGGAGAGTTCTGTGGATGGAGGTTGAAGAGACTCTAGATAACTATGAAGAAAAGGAGTTCTTCCTGGGAATGAGGCCATTTGCCAGGTCACAGCGTATCCCCCAGCGCAGGGCAGATCTCTTCTTTTCTGTTGGCACCAGATAGTTGTTGGGGACATAGACGTGTTGAGACCTGGCTGGGAGGTCAGGCTTGTAGAACATTTGTTCCCGGATGCCCCAACGTAATTCTTTCCTTTGATCCTCCCCTGGTATCCGGAATGACTCCCAGTCCCGCTTATACTCAAAGTAGCGGGCCACTCGGTCAATCTTACCACGATTACGACCTTGCTGCTCTAATCTTGGAGGAATGAAGGATTTTGATTGGCCAGTCATAATCAAGTCTTGTTCATAAACTGGAGAACCCCGACTGTGGCATTCCCTAGGAAGAAATGGCGGATCTCCATGAGAGCCACTGCGACGAGGAAGATCCAAGTAAAGCTTTCCATGGGAATTGTGGATTGGCTCACTTTCTACCTCTGATGCAGTGTCTTCCTGCTGGGGGTGTAAATGGAGCAATCTCCGTTGTAGGTCTGAGATCTCAGGGTCGCTTTCAGCACTGGTTTCTGGTTCGCTGATGACTGACTCATCAGACACATGTACCTCTCCATCTGGCATCCGCCTCAGAACTTTCCTCTTCATTACTGGCTTCCTCATTCCTCTAAGACCCTCTGAGAGAGTCTCTGGTTGCACACTGTGTTCTGCCTGGTGGTGCTGCATCAATAAATGAAGAGATGGCCTGATCCCAGAAGCCACTGATGCTTTAGTGTAAGGGTCATACTGGGTTGGCGCATGGGTTCTTCTCAGGGTATCTCCATCTCCGTGCTCTGCACAAAATTGAGTAAAGGCCATAGCAGCTGCTGCCAGCCTCTCTTTATGGTTCATAGTGGCCCATCTGTACTGATCTGGTCCTGCTAGTGCCTCCATGATTTCACCTGGGCTGGACTTATTGTCTCATTCTGCAAGAATAAACTGTAAATAAGTTCTTAGTACATCTTAAGTGACAGATACAAAACATACTTAAACATTAAAATAAGATCCTAGACCATGTACTAGTGATTATCTGAATGTTAAAAGGGAATTTAATGAGTAAGAGCTAGTGAAACTAAAGAGCAGTGCAATCAGAATCCTTTATGGACTCACACATTAATCCTTCATTTAGAATACTTCGCTACAGATGCTTTTATGCCAGGCCCATACAAACAGCACATACAGTGCAGTCTCATGCCCCAATGTACCTTTTGAAGCCAATGTTAGAATTGTGCAATAAAAGAATTTGCAGTGGTATCTGAACAGCGAAGGGGTTAAGTGATAGGGGTTAGTTATCTTTGCACAAGGGACAGTTACTGAGGTAATAAGCTAAGTATGAGGCAGAATAAGATTGTTTGGTTTTGTCTAAACTGGGGGAAAGCATTAGTCACGTTTTCTGGTGTGATTTTTGCCTCATTAGCACAGTTAGTGGAAAGGCCCACCCCTGGGTCCTCATCTATATACCAGAGTCTTATGTAAGGGAGATTGTTGTTGAATTGCATACATTGTGATAGAGTCCACAGTAGGGATGTTGCATTTCAGTTAATCAGATAATCGAGTAGTCAATAGAATTTCCATCAACTACTCAATTAGTTGATGGGGGGGAGGGGCACTTGCTATCCCACTGTGCGTCTCCCATTGAAGTGTACAAGAGCTGCGCACGGCTCATATTTCAAAGGGAGAAACAGTAGTTCCCTCTGCCTCTCTTCCTCTGAAGTGTACAGGAGCCACAGCATCTCCTGTACATTTCAGAGAGAGAGGCAGCAGGAACCCAAGCCAGAAGGGAGCAAAGCAGTTCCTGCTGGCACAGGTTCTCCTCTTTGAAATGTATAAGAGTTGCAGGTGGCTCTTGTACAATCCAAAGGGAAAGAAGTGGCGGTGGGACTGTTTCATTCCCTGCTCACACGGTTTTCCCACTGCCCTGTGCCTCCCCTGCCCCCCCACAGAGATGATAAACATTTGCTTATTGGGTAGTAAGTTGCTTATATCCTTAATCTATAGTAGGGGCCAAGAAGGCAAACATTTAGACTGAGATTTTCAGTCAACTTGGGGATTCGGATACCTAATTCATAACTCTAATAGTGATTAGGCACCAAATTCATTACACAGCTTTGGTCTACACGTGTCAAAGAATCAGTTTAAAAAAATTTAAAAAAATTACAACAGATGGGTCTGTAAGACTAATAATAGCAGTAGCAATAGAGATGTAAAATCCCACTTAATCAGTTAACTGGTTAAATGTAATGATTAACTATTAAATTAAGCGGAATCCTTCAGGAGGTGGGTCCTGCCCAGCCAGAACAGCCTTTAGGGCTGCCAGTTAACAGATTGCTGGTAACCATCACTTAGTAAGGGTGATGCTTACCAGGTAACTCATTGCTGTTCACATCCCTAATTAGCAAGCTCCTCACATGTTGATGCTAGTAGAGTGGCAGCTGACAGAAATGAGGATTGCTTGCTTGACAGCTCTGTATGGATTTAAGAGTTAAACTGGTTACCCAATTAAATGGGATTTTACAGCTCTAATTTCTAAACTCTAAAAGGAAGTAAAGAATCACTCAGATTTGCTTATTTCATTAATCTTTCTGCAGCTGCTGAGGCACTAATAACATTTCCCACCTCTGAATTTCACAGAAACTCACTATGGCAGAACTGGGTGTGGAGAAAGATCAAGAAGAGGGACTACTGAAGAGGGTGCAGGAACTGGAGGCAGAAGTGAAGAGACTGCAGGAGAAACTCCTGGAAGGCAAGGAGGGTCCTGAACTAAAAAGCAGTCCTTCAGCATTGGGGAGAACTAAGAAACGCCAGCAACGGCCATTTGATTTTAGTGCCTATGACAGGAAGCATGTGGCACTGAAGATTGCCTACCTGGGTTGGGGATACCAGGGCTTTGCCAGCCAGGAGAACACTAACAACACCATTGAAGAGAAACTGTTTGAGGCACTAAGCAAGACCCGGCTAGTAGACAACAGGCAAACTTCCAATTATCATCGCTGTGGACGAACAGACAAGGGGGTCAGTGCATTTGGACAGGTCAGTACCCCTGGCTGCAAGTTCTCCCCACTCTTGCAGAGAAGTGATTGTCTTAATTATACTATGAAATGTATGTGGTGGGGTGTAAAGTCTTTTAGGATAGGTTAGCTGGCTTTGACAAAGGCACTGTCAAGCATGGAGATAAAACAGTGGCCTAACATTTAAAAAGATACTAGTTTTTCCCTCTGATGTGAAAATGAACATGGTAAGAAGTGTTTCTAGTGTGTAAAGGACACTCAGCAGAGACAGCCCATAGTTTTTGTGCTCAGCAATGCAATTGGTCAGCAGTTCACAATGGACATGATGATGGAAGAAATTTAGGGCTTGTCTACATGGGAAAACTATTGTGAAATAAGTGAGGGTATGACTTTAAAGTGCAGTGTTAGGTATATCTCAGAACTGGAAGGGATCTTAAGAGGTCATTGAGTCCAGTCCCCTGCCCTCACGGCAGGACCAAGTACCATCCCTGACAGATTTGCCCCAGATCCTTAAATGGCCCCCTCAAGGATTGAACGCACAATGCTGGGTTTAGCAGGCCAATGCTCAAACCACTGACCTGCGCGCGTGCCCCCTCATCTGTTCTTCCACACTAACTCCCTGCATGGACATACATTCAGCACAAAGACACTCTTATTGTGGAGGGTGTCCAACAGGGAGTTATGGCAGAATTATTCTCTGATATTTACTTATGTAAATGAGCCCTTTAGTAAAGTGCTACACTTGTCTAAACCATGATGTCCCAACCATGTTGATTTGGTAAAATTCTTGTTTTAAAAAAAGCCCTCTTGAAAGTAATCAGATTTGTCTCCAGTTGACGTAAATCATGTCTACATTCCACTTTTGTACTGGATAACTACATTGGTCAGGTAAAAAAACCCACATCTCTCTAACTAGTAAACATGGCATAAGCCCTAGGGGGAGGCAGAATAGCTATTCTGGAAGAAAAGGTGAGTAGGCATCTTTATTCCAATATGATTACATCAATGCCAGGAGGACATGGTATAGTTAACTATACAACTGTGTTTACACAAACCTTTAGTCCCAATGTACACTTCAGTCAGAATACAGGAGTTAATGTGTTAATGGATAAAAGCCTTGCTGCTTTCAGTGGTCTGAACTCAAACTCTCGATAAGGGTCAAAAGCAGTTGTTTGTATATAGATGAGCTATGATCTATCAATAAATTGGATCTGACACCAGTAACTGTGTAAAATGCTACAAATTGGCACCCTTGTTGATGTTAAGGAGTGAGTTTGCCATGGGGACTGAATTGTCATCTGTGAGCATGTTTCCTCCAGGTCAAGGTTGAATGCATTCCAAGATAACCCATGGAATATATAGCTACTAGGATATCCAAGGCTGTTAGTCTATCACCAACTCAATAACAGTGCAGCAAACTTAGCTCCCTCCAACCACCTCCAGCAGCTGCAAATTTACACTTCAGTAAGGAATTACATCTAGGTCTAGATATTAAACAGACCAGAAGATGCAGCTCTTCCAGAGGTCTTGACTTTTTTTTATTTTAAAACAGTCATTAGAAGATTGCTTTGCCTGTCCTGAGGGAGTCAGAATGTAATCCCCTTTTTTCCAATCCTACAGGTGATCTCCCTGGATCTTCGCTCAGACCTTTCAGAGGGAAAGAAAGTGAATGGTCATGAGAGTGGCTTGAAAGACAAAACTAGTAGTTCTGCCAACGAAATCCGTTACACCCATATCCTAAATCGGGTGCTCCCTCCTGATATACGTGTATTGGCCTGGGCCCCTGTAGAGCCCAGCTTCAGTGCTAGATTCAGCTGCCTCAAGAGGACCTATCGTTATTTTTTCCCACGTGCAGATTTGGACGTGACTCTTATGGATGCTGCAGCACAAAAATACGTGGGGACCCATGACTTCCGTAACTTGTGCAAGATGGATGTAGCCAATGGTGTAACAAATTTCCAAAGGACTATTCTCACAGCACAGGTGCAGCTAGTGGATAGAGGAGGGGAAACTGGGCTACAGGACCCTTTCCAACTGTACCAGTTTGAAGTGACAGGCCAGGCATTCCTCTATCATCAAGTCCGTTGCATGATGGCAATCCTCTTCCTAATTGGGCAGAGGAGAGAAAAGCTAGAGATTATTGATGAGCTATTGGATGTAGAGAAGAATCCTCAAAAACCACAATACAGGCAAGAATTACTAAAACAGCCTCAGAATTTCACTTCAGAGAGTTTACATGTGTTAGTCCCGGTTTCTGAATCTAGTGCTATAAGTGCTGTTGCCACACTTCCTAACAACATCCATGCAGCTGATTGCTATCAGGCCTAGAGTAATCTGGAAGACAGTGCCTCTAGTGGCTGCCAGTTAACATACCCTCTTGAACTTCAAAACATGCCCTTGAGAAACTACTTTTCCTGTTGCCTCAGTGTGTAAGCTTTGGTATTTCAGGCAAGGAACATGAAATTATGGCTAGGTCTTATTCCTTTGGACCTAGTAAAAAATGTAAACATTGCTCATAGGCTCAATGAGCTGCTGACTTGACAGTTCTTATGCAGGATAGCAATGAGCTAGTCCAGGGGTGGCCAACCCATTCTGGTCAAAGAGCCAAGATAGCCATGGATCCAGCACGAAGAGTTGAGCTAAAATAAAACGATAGCCCCTTTAAAAGGAGCCCCCCGGTCACATTTGGTCATGCAAAAAAAGCTCTGCCCCTTTAAGAAAACACTTAAACGCATTTTGAGGCTTTTTGGCCACAGGAGGCTCCTGCCGCCATCTTTAATTCTGCATCTTTCATGGCTGGGCCCGCCCGCTCCCCCA